CACATCATTGCATTCTGTTTTTATTCACAATTTGTACAGTGTCCCAACTTTTTTGGAATCGGGTTTGTATGTAAAAATGATATTTCAAGTAAACATATTTTTCACAAACAATGAAAACCACTATTCTTAAAACCCAGTTAAAATTCCTGAGGGTACATAGCAACATTAGTAACATTAGTCCTCTAGGTTAAAATGGACATCAAGACTGAGCAGTGCTATAATAGGCACTGATGTACAGACTTAGACCATGTGCTACAAAAGAGCTGCACCGTCATTCATTGTTCCATTAAAGAGCTTTAAAGTAATAGCATCTGCTATCCCCCCGAATCAAAAATGTACACAAAAAATACACAACAAAACACTCCAAAAACAAACCAGCAGTTTACCATATAAACAATACGGCTATTTACCCAGCTCCTGTCAGTGTGTGTGTGTGCGTGTGTAAGAATGGCTGTGGGTGCATTAAAGACAAAGCCATGACTGTTTCTTCCCTCTGGGTGAGAACGCAGCATACACTCCTCCAACACACACAAATATGACAGCCTAGCACAGCCTGTTCAATCAGAGAGAGAGAGATTTCTATTGTTTTAGTGAAAACGATGCCCACTTGAGAAGATACAAAGGAGGACCACAATGGGGTCATGCACACAGTCAGCAGCACAGCGTCACTATAAACAATAAGTTTGTATTTAAGCTCCTGCTGGTGAATGTAATTTCTCAGGATATACAGAAAATCACTTATCAGCCAATATTAGAGGGTTTTTTATTAGTTAAAACTAGGGTTGCACAAAGGTGGAAAATTTCCAGGATTTTTTTGGAATATTCCAGGGATTTTTGGAAAGTTTTCGGAAATGTAACGGACATTTTCCACCCCTTTGCAACCCTATTAAAACTGGTTATTTAAATAGTGCTTATTTTCACTATTAAATTACCTTTTCATCATGTAACACTCAAATTTAATATTTAAAAACATTAATCATTTAATAACGCTGTGAAATGAAATCTATAGCAAATCTCAAAATGAATATCCATTTTTCATACTATACATTATAATGTTGTGATGCCTAAATTCACTTGTAGTATTTAAAATTACTGATTTTAGTTCGTAATGCTTCATTTTGAATTTATTTAGACAAAATAGTATAGAATTGTAATATCTGCCATTGATATTAGCTATAAATTAAATGTAAATAAGTTTTCTGGTGTTTAGGACTAACAATATCATTCCTACTCCCTCAGTATTACTTCAACGTGACTAGACGGGCCACGCTCAACACTGAACAGGCGTTGTTGATGTGTAAATGAGGGCGTTTAGGTTTCTGATGTCAGAAACAAACCATTTTGGCAGCACAGTTTTAGTAGATGGTATTTTTAGATTTTCTGGAGGAAGTTGAATGCAAGTTTTCATAGTACAATGAACTCAAAAGAACAAGAACAATTTCATTTATCAAGACATGACCGCATACATTTCCTATAATAGTATTTTAAATTAGCTTTTATTTATACATTTTCACTTTTCGTTTCAATTTTAGTTTAAGTCTTAGTAATTTTGCTATGTGGTTTTATTCATTGTTGTTTTTGGTTTTTTATATTTCTATATTGCTTTAACTTTTAGGCCTATTTCAGTACCTTTATCAATTTTAGTACTTCAACTTCATCTAATATTCACATTTCAGCTACTGTTTCAGCTTTATTTCAATTAGTGAAGTTTTAGTTTCAGTTAACAATAACAAGACTGCTTTCTACAATCCAGTTACAGAACAAATCGTCATATTACACAAACATTTCTCACAGATTTCAACGCACCACACATTCAAATGATGTACTGAAAAGTGAATGACTAACATGATAGAAGTGGATCAGCTTTTCTGCTTTATTTTATTCATGGTTGACACTTCTATGCCTAGTAGCATTCAGTTACCTTCTGTTTTCTCACACTCTGATAGTCTCTGACTGACTTCAGCGGGACTCAACCAGTCAGAATATGACGGCTCTGACAGCTTAATTTGAACGTGAGGATTATGCCAGCTACAGTGAGCTAATATTAAGCCCTTTTAAATCTATCAAATCTATCATAACACACAACAATCACACAGGCTTCAGACTATGTGTTATGACCTATTTTGCAGTGTGTAAATCTGAATGATTCAGACACATTGACTGAGTGTCAGATGCATGTTTAATTAAAAAATATTTTTATAGATTTAGTTAACAATAACAACACTGCAAAGAATTAAATGTTCACCAGAAAACCGGCAAAACATCTCTGAGTGCCGCTTAGATAATATATTCACAATTCTCAGCCAGAAATAAGAAAAGCAGTCCTACAATACGGACCCACCACGTCAGGCCTAGCCAATCAGATAGTATCTCCAAACTAGGCCACACCCACTGCAGTGGAAGCTCAAGGGGAAAATCCTACAGAAAAGCTCAGAAGACCAGCTGCTGTAGCTCATTAATTAGTTCATTAAAAACTAAAGCTAATGTCATTTTTATGACAGAGATGTATGAGCGTGTCTCACTGTGATAAGATGAGTTGCTTCTCTCAGATTCTGCTCTCAGCTTCAATTATGTGCACAGAACAGACCTTTAAACGAACACATAATTAACTGTTAGAATTCTACGCGCAAATGTCGTGCTCCTCACACATATACAGTGAGCAGACAAAGGGCCTGAGGGAAAATATGTCTGTGGTACAGTTGTGAATCTTTTATTATGATCAAGAATTCATAAGGCACATCTCTCTCTCTCTTTATTCCCCATCCATCTCACCATTTGCTCCAGTTCAGGCTGTTTTAAAGGGATAGTTCACCAGAAAATGAAAATTCTGTCATTTCTAACCATTGTGTCATTCAAAACCTGAATTATGTTTTTTTTTTGTGTAACAGAAAAGGTACATTTGTGAGGCGTATTCAACATGTAGCTTTCTATTGCCACCTGCATTATTATGGTGATACATTTTAATGTAAAAAGTGGATTTTGGTAGTTCACATAGTTCAGTATATTAACATTATATAACTTAATAAAATATACAATTATTGTAAAATACACAGGCATCCCATAATACCGAAAACATTGTCGTAGCATTTATTACAATGAACTTCTTGCAACCATACCACTTTTTTTCTAGCTATTTAAAGGGGTCCTATTATGCTCTTTTACAAAGTCTTGATTTTGTTTTGGGGGTGTACTAGAACATGCTCTCATGCTAGGTTGTTCGAAAAACACATTATTTTTCACAAATTTTACATGATTACAACGCCTCTCTCCCCAGTCTTGCATGAACGGCTCAAATAGTTCCTTCATCAAATGAAGGCCCGCCTTCTGAAATATGAAATGTGCTGTGATTGGTTAGCTGGGCCAGTGTGTGTTGTGATTGACAGCACTCAGCGCCTGGTCGGGAAATGTCATGCCCCTTACCATAGCTGTCTGCGAGCTTCAGTGTAAATATTGCGTCAAAATCAAATAAATTTGAGCGCGATTTAAACCCGGATGATTGTAACCACTCTAAGTTCAGCTGCCTTGGGAAAGCTAGCGTGTCTCCGACATAGTGATAACACTCGTTGCCTTCTCTAGTGCAGCTCAACCAGGTCTCGTCCCATTCGTCGTTATCTGTGATATCACAAATCCCGGAAAATATGCGTTGTAGTCCAAACGAGTCATTCGTTGTAGTTTTTAAAAAGTGATTTCTGTTAAATAAAATATCTCATTTTGAATTGGACTTCAAGCTTTGTAACTTTGCAGATCTTTTTTATACTCAAACCGCAGCATTACAGACTAACTAAAGTTGAAAAAGTGAAAAAGCATATCCCTTTAATGGGATCTTTTTTTACAGAGTAGGACTGTGAAGCTCCAAAATGACAAAAAAAGCAACATGCAAGTAATCCACACTATATTTCAGCTCTATAGCCATGAGAAGTTGTTTTTCACAAAAAAAAATCATCCTCTTCCTTTAGACTGGATCATTTAGTCAGTGAGGAGAACTCGAGAACTTGATCAGTCCAAATGCTGAACAAACCATTCAGTCTGGTTTTGTGAACTACTTGATTCATTGAAAAGACAAGACTCAAAAGAATGATTTGTTCAGTGAAATATGACTTTCACTTTGAACTGCTCCTCACACAAAGCTATCACGTGGCTTCAGAAGACTTGTGGTCTTTATACGGCCCAGTTTATGATAGCTTTTGAAGCTTGAAAGCTCTGGTCCCTCCCCATTCTTTGCAACTGCAGTGAAAAAATGATCATTACAGGCAAGTCAGGCATTATAATTTCTCCTGTAAGTGATGAGGGTGTGTAAATGAAGACAGAATTTTCTTTTATGGGCGAACTGCCTTTTAAAGGTCATTTGTGGACACCACCCATAGTTCATCATAACTATTATATGGGACAGAAACGAATGCCAGCACACATACTGTTTTGATCTAATTTGTGGTTTAGAAATAAACACATTTATTTATATGTTGATGACTCATGACAGCAAATAAAGAAGAAGTAGCAGTCTCTGAAATTCTGGGTCTGAACGTTATGTTGCGGTGGCAGTGCATCTAGTAGACCCACTGGGTTATTCTGCACGACACCGGCCCGTGTTGATGACAGCTCGACCCCTCCGGCGAAACCGATTCATTACAAAAAGCGTGCCACCTCAACCGAGCGGAGCCCTGCCGTCACAAAGGCCAAAGAGTTTGTTTGTGTTCGCAGGCAGAACAGAACTGAAATTAATAATAATAATCACCTCTAAAAGACTAGTGATCAAAGAGCAATCGGGTCACATTTGAACAGTTAATGGTGAATGACAGCAAAGCGTTACTAAATCTGCAGAACATCACTGGATTTGTGTCACCGTGATCCGTGGCTGACATCAGTGCACCACAATAATCAAACTAGTTCACACACCCTTTCTCTGTCTAACACAGACACACACCACTCCCTGTCGCCGTGCACCTGCTCGTCCGCCCGCTCACAAACAGCCCACCTGTGTGTCCATCGCGCGTGACTCTCACCTGGGGATGCAGTTAGGAGAGGAGCCGTCTATCTCCCAGGTGGCGAACAGGTTCATAGGCACCGGTCTGTTTAGCCCCCCGCTCCCGGGGAAGCTTAACCGGCCACTTCTCTCCGCCATTCTCGCTGCTGGTGTCCCGTACACCGACTCAGCGAGCAAACTTCTCCCTCAGGAACGCGCTGGATCTAAATCCTTCCCGCTCAAACGGCTGTTAATCCGCTGCTCTATGGAGCCGGGTTACCGTTCACGGGTGGCGCAGCGATTCGCGTACGGTGTCTGCGTGCAGCTTCATGCCGCCGTGGTTCGGAATTTCCACATCGTGCACCGAGCGCTCGCGACAAGAAACTGCAGCAGCATTTTCTCGCCGCAGGAAGTCACGTGACCAAGGGTTGTACCAGCGACTGGCTCATCTGCGCTCTTGCACACTCGATGGGCAGTAAATAACGGGACAACTAGAGAAAGTACATAACGTTAGTGCTGTTTATAAATGAACTGTTAAGTCATGCTGGGAGTGTACAGTTAAAGTATTTTATTACGGTGCTTGCTAGTAAAGGACATTTGGACTTCAACATACTGGTAGTATACTGGGTATTGGGACTTGCAAAAAGCAAGCATTAAACATTTATGGTATCTACTGCATGATTAAGTCGGTCAAGGTAAAATATAAATAAAATAACAATAATGGATCTTAACATGGGTTAATTATCTTTTAAATATCTCACAAATATCTTTTTATAATATTCTGTCATTATATTATATTATATTATTATATAGCTACTCCAAATTCCCAGTGACCTGGACATACATTTCACTTATAACACTAGCATTCTCTAAAGATAATAATATAAAAATTAAAATATACTTATATAATCTTTTATCCAAAAAAAAATCAAGATTCTCCTGATCCCAGGTGAAGGGTGGATTTCAGGAACAAAATGTAATAAAACTTGTTCAAATAATACAAGTTTGTGTCATGTAGATGCAGTGGCGCAATTTCCGAAAATTACTTTTTGAAAATTTCCACCTTCAGCTTGTGTGTACCAGTACTTTTTGAACATTTTCAACACATTTTAACAATACCGTGATGATATAGATAGCTATGATCATGGCAATTTGTTCACTGTGATTCAATTGCAAGGCACTTTGTGACAAAATTTGATTTATTGATGATTTGATATTTTAATAGTGATTTTTATAATTTCAAAATATAAAGCAAAAAGTAGTGATGAATGTCTAATAAGCCAATAAATGCTCCTCTGCTGCCATCTACTGGTAATAGTGGTCATTTGAAGTAGTTTTTAATTTACCGTGTTTGTTTACCACAAAGTATATTTTGGTCATTAAAATAGGCTAACATTTCAATTTATAACTTTGAAGTGCTGGAAAGTCATTGAAAAGTGCTAGAATTTCTCTCTCAAATGGTTGTACAAAACCTGAAATGAATAATGCAATAACATTGATTCGACTATTTCTGCCAGAACACCATGGTTATAGTTACCGTTGCGACTTCTGGTTTTCTGACGCTTCGCAAACGCTTCTCTCTGGGTCTCGCGGTCTCCGTTTTGTGTGTGTATTTCTCAAACAACAAATGAATTCTCATAAGGAACAAATTGCTCCTAGCCATCTGATCTCAAAACACTTCTGTTGTTTGTTGGCAGTATTATTTTATGTTTGTCCTTGACGAGAGCGTCGCAGTGTAGAGGGCACTAGCTATGAACACAATGATCAAATGGCTGGTAGAGGCATGGAGGGAGGCTTGGTTTTTTTCTCCTTGGACAGTGCAGATGTTACAATATCGCCTCCCATTCATATTTTTCAATATGTGGTTGCCAGGATCCTCATAGCAACAGAGATCGATTGATAAAATACAGGTTTCAAGTGCGTTTCTCATACATTATCTGAATCAATAACGCCTGGTTTTTGTGCCGTGTATATGTTGAGGCCCTAGATGGAAACTACTGATTCCCACAGACATGCAGCCACTGATAGATTTTTTTATCAAATAAACTAAAAAAAAAAAAAAAAGTTTGATACGGATACCTTTGAAAACATTTGATCTATAGTTTCTTCAGAAATCAAAAAGTTCACTTTCGAACGCTCCTAGTCACCTAATGAAAGATTACATTTCTAATATATAATCCCTGTGAAGATCAAACTGTAAATGTCTGGTCGTAGACTTCTTTGCAAACTATAAAGCAGCATCACCTAGTGGACTGATCTTAAAATCAGCAGACTTGATTTCAAACTTTACATGACTAATGAACAATGATGGCAAGGAGTTTATTTTACTGCAAATCAGACAACAGTTAAAAGTTAGAAGGTAGAGAATTAAGCTGTGGTGTTTGTGACCAATGCAGAGCCACACTAATCAAATTAAGCACACATCTGTATGTGGTTGCCAGGATCCTCATAGCAACAGAGATCGATTGATAAAATACAGGTTTCAAGTGCGTTTCTCATACATTATCTGAATCAATAACGCCTGGTTTTTGTGCCGTGTATATGTTGAGGCCCTAGATGGAAACTACTGATTCCCACAGACATGCAGCCACTGATAGATTTTATCAAATAAACTAAAAAAAAAAAAAAAAATGTTTGATACGGATACCTTTGAAAACATTTGATCTATAGTTTCTTCAGAAATCAAAAAGTTCACTTTCGAACGCTCCTAGTCACCTAATGAAAGATTAAATTTCTAATATATGATCCCTGTGAAGATCAAACTGTAAATGTCTGGTCGTAGACTTCTTTGCAAACTATAAAGCAGCATCACCTAGTGGACTGATCTTAAAATCAGCAGACTTGATTTCAAACTTTACATGACTAATGAACAATGATGGCAAGGAGTTTATTTTACTGCAAATCAGACAACAGTTAAAAGTTAGAAGGTAGAGAATTAAGCTGTGGTGTTTGTGACCAATGCAGAGCCACACTAATCAAATTAAGCACACATCTGAGGGCACTAGAAGAAACACTTCTTTCTCTGGCAAATACCAATATACTTTATTCCAGAATGTATATACAGGCATAACCCTTCTGTTGAACCACCATAAAGACAAACAAAAATTAACAAGTGAGTTTGAGAAACAAAACCCACATACATTTAAGTTCTCTACAGAAGTACTCCAGGATTGAAATTGATCAAATAAAAATAGAAACCAATACAAGACATTGTGAAAAATATCTAGTCTGAACCCACTCCATTATGTCTTAAACCCACCCAGTTCCTCAGGATAAAAAATAATCAAAACATCACACACACACACACTCACCCATTCAACTCACAGTAAGTAATTTACACTAAAGTAGCACATTGACATATGCCACATTAATAAGTGGAAAAGAGGGGGGGGGGAAAAGCCGCACACAAAATTAGTTTCAGTGCTGACTCTCTGTAGAGGCAGATCGGGAGCGGCTCTGTTTCCTCAGAGGAGACGGAGAGCGGGAGGGAGAGCGGTTACTGGTAGTCTTCTTCTCTGGGGTGCGACTGGCTGAGCGACTGCGGGAGCGTTTGCTTCCACGCTCAGGACTGCGACTCCGACTGGGCGAGCGGGAACGAGAGCTGCTCCTGCTGCGGGAACGACTCCTACTGCGACTGCGGAGAGAAGAAAAAACAGGTCAAGACTGTGTCAGGGTTTCTGCAGGTTTTATGAAAGCAAATGAGAAACTTTTCAAGCCCAAGTAAAGAAAATAAGACTGTGCAATGTCAATGTGTTCTTTAAAAGTAACTGCTGAGGGAGCACAAAAATAACTTTTATAAACCACTTTTTCATAAAAAAAAAGAAAAAAAAGCCCAAGGCTTGAATACTTGGAAAATACAGATATATTGTACCTTGTTTTTACTTCACTTAATTGGTTCACTTTTTCCAAGACATCATTTTACATTCGCATGTATGGGGGGGGGGGGGGGGGGAGAAAAAGACAACTACAAAAGGATTTTCATTTTTTGCAATGCATACAAACATTTAATGCCACGACTTCATGAATAAGACTTTCAGCTTTGATTTAGAGCCTTTACGGCTTTCAATTGTAGTAGGACTAATGAAAGACATTATTTGACCTACAGAAACCCAGTGTGAGAACTTTGCAATTTGAAGTCATGTGAGATTGTCTGGTACATACTCCCTCTTGTGATCCTCGAACAGCTTGATTTTGCGTCCATTCAGATCGGTTCCATCCAGCTTCTCTATGGCATTCTTCATATCACTGTGTGAAGCAAACTCCACCACCCTGTAAAACAAATCAGGGCAAACGTATTACAATCATTTGACAATCAGAACACAGTCTTCTGCATACATGCACAAGATCTTACCCCTCATTCTTCTTGGTCCTGTGTGCATCCACAAAGGTCACTTCACCCACCTTCCTCATCAAGTCCTTCAGATCCTGCAGAAAGCACAGAAACATTTAATGACACGTTTTCAGAGAAACCCAAAAGCACTGACTCACACACTGCAGTTTAGCACCCACACATTTAATACACAGACTGCATTCTGCAGCATCTGCTCTAAAGTGTGCACTGGTGCACCTGTAGAAAGCTCCCTCAACAGATGTCATCTTACCGGATGTTTGTCCCAGTTATAAAACTACCGGAGCATTTTCGGCAACACAAATCGCATTTAGATTGTGTAAAACAGCAGGAAGCAAAGCCCTCAGATGGAGACACGCCTGACTACAGCTAGTTCCTGAGAACATGTTTTGTTAATTAGAATTAGTGCAAATCTCAAAACTTCCTACCGGCAATCTTTCTCCATTTACAACTAACTCCAGATTTAAAGTGACAGAACCCTCTTTACCGTGTAACTATCCAGTGTGATGAGCTACTTACCGTTCCAAACCACAGAAGGCATTAGCAAAGAGCCACTTGTCCAAATAGCAAACGGAAGCAATGAAGCGTTAAAACGACCTCGGACTTGACCCATCCGGCCTCCATAAGAACGGACCCCACCAGAGAGAGAGAGAGGATGGGGGAGGGGCCAAAACCCTGTCCCCCTCCCGCTTCAGCACCAACAGAATAAGACCCAAACAGCAGATCGGGGGGGATGGAGCAGATCTGACATCACAGACCCTCCAGAGAGCGGCTACCCAGCTCCTCTAAGGCTATCCTGTGCTACGGCTCTGTCTGGTGCTACGGACCCAGCCAAGACTTAGACCGGCAGACACTGCGTGTCGGGTGAGCCACCACAGGGACACTATTCAGAACACAACCAGGGGAGGGCGCTATGCACCTCGGAGGCTGTGCATGCAACTCCAATTAAAGAATACCAGAGCACAGCTGTTAAAGAAAAGGTTTGAAAAACATGGGTCTGGGTTAGAGAACCTTTCAGCATTAAAATCTGAAATCATCATTTTTACTTATTTAAGGTTTGGCTGAGGTGAAGAGAGAGAAGAAAAAAAAAAGGAAAAAAAAGTACTTCCAGATTAACAGTAACAAAGACAACTAATTTTTTGTGTGCTTGTACAGATGTCAAAGGCAAAAGTAGTGCAGGGATGAATCGCTAAAACAGAAGGCTGCTACACTGCTCTGCTGATACAGCTCGGGACGCTCACCTGCCAGCTGATGCGAGAGGAGAGATTCTCCACAACGACTCTGTGCTCCGTGCGCACAGGTGGTCCATACCTGAGAGAAGGGGAGAGGTTAGCTTATTTGAACTATAATGCAACAAACAGCATATGATTGTCTCAATATGCTTGCATACCTGGAACCCACACTGCGGGATTTACGATACCCTCCAAAGCGTGGAGAGAAACGGCCTCCCATTCCTGGGCCTCCACCTCTTCCTCGGCGAGAACGGGCATGTTCAATGGTCACCCTGGAGTTAAGAGAAAACCATTCAAGTAATAATAAATCTTAAGTGAAGTGTGAAAGTGACGTGACACGTCGGAATTAGTGCTCTGCATTTATCCCATCCAAAGTGCACACACAGCAGTGAACACACACCCGGAGCAGTGGGCAGCCATTTTTTTGCTGTGGCACCCGGGGAGCAGTTGGGGGTTCGGTGCCTTGCTCAAGCGCACCTCAGTCGTGGTATTGAAGGTGGGAGAGAGAGCGCTGTACATTCACTTCCCCCACCCACAATCCCTGCCGGTACAAGACTCGAACCCACAACCTTTGGGTTACGAGACCGACTCTCTAACCATTAGGCCACGACTTCCCCAGTAGTAGTTCCCCCAAGTAGCAACAGATCTTTTTTTTCTATATTGTGAGGTACATCGGAGTATTAAAAAGGTTGAAAATAAATGTATACCAGAGACTTTCAATACATCAGTTACTGATTGGATTTTGAGATGTGGGCTTTTCATTCAAAAGCGGAGGCAATACTACTTCCAAGTACTTTCAATTTATAATTCACCACAGACCTTGTTTTCCTCAAATTGAAAAACCCAATTATAAAAACCCATAGAAAAATCTCTAGGGAATTAGGGTGAATTAGTCTTCCAGGTTTAGCGGTCACAGGCACAGAACTCTATAAGATCTTTAACACGCATTAAGGTAATAGGGTGAATTTTCATTTAATGCTGACTTCAACCACGTGAAACAAGACTGAAACAATCATCGACATTAGGCAGATGGTGTAAGCAGCTCTGGATTCAGTCTCACCTCTCACTGCACAGCTCTTTTCCATTCAGCTCATACACTGCGTCATCTGCGTCCCTGTGGTCGTCAAACTCCTGTGAAAAACAGACAGCAGGGGGCAGTAAGACAGGTTTCACCATCACCTCACACATAAAAGACAGTAACGGGGTTATCACACCGGAGTGTTTGTTTCGGAACCTGGTGCGTTTTCTCCCTTGGTTCGGTTCATTTAGGCTTATGTGAACACAGCAATCTCACTCGGATCTGCACCAAAACAACCGCACCGAGACCGCTTGAACGAGGTGGTCTCGGCCCGATTCCAAACCAACTCTGGAGCAGTTTGCTATAAGTGTGAAAGCAATCCGACCCAACGGACCAGGCTGTATCACAATGTATGATGGTAATTACGTAGCAGGGATTGTATTGCTAATGGCTCCCAAAATGAACCGTGGGCTAACTTGGAGCAGGGAAAAGGTGAAATGTTTAACTGAACTTTGGTCAGACGAACAGATTGCCGAACAGCTCTCCAAAACGCACAATAATTTATAAAGTGTTTAGTGAGCGCTTAAAACAAATGGGCTTTAATCGGTCTGCTGGAACAGTGCCGCGCAAAGGCAAAGAAACTCCGTCAACAATATATATATATATATATATATATAAATATACACCTCTTGATGGATGACAACTTTGAGCGGAATTCCGGAAAATAAACAGACGCACTGACCAATTAAAGGAGAGTTTACTCGCACGTGACTTGTATTAAAGTTTGGTCCGTTTGGAAATATTGCCCTGTGAATGCGAACCGAACCAGGATGAAATTGCAACATTGTAGCGATTTAACCCCTGGTGTCAGAACAAAGCAATCGATCTACAGGTGTGAAATCACTCACCACAAAGCCAAACCCGTTTTTTAGGTTAATCTCCCGAATGCGTCCGTAGCCTTTAAAAAACTTCTCCACGTCTCTATCACGAGCATGAGGGCTCAGACGGCCGATGAACACACGACATCCACTCATGGTGATGAAAAATCAGGGAAATCTGGAGAGAGAGAGCGTTAAAGTACTGTTAATCAACAGTCTGGCAAACACGAACTTTGAACCGCATCTGTGCGCCTGCTGGTCACACACGGTACGACACAGGATAATCATTTAGTCCAGTCAGTCCACGTAAATAAATAATAAACATGCAAGCCGATTCATGAAATGAGAGTAATATGGTTTTCTGCAACACAGGGGTCTTCAACTAACCTAAAACAAAAACTCGTTTCTAAAAAGGCTTTAAACAAAAACACCTAAGTTAACGTTACTGCCTGTTGACTCGGCAGAACCACTGAATTGATACTGATAAAATTACTATATTCACCCATCCAGCGCCAAAAACCACAGTGCTGCTATAAATCACGAATATCTTTAAATCAGGGGGAAAACAAGAAAGTCCGTTTTGAGAAATTATACCACGACTAATGAACACGGGTCAGCCGCGTGCGGTCGAGGCCCAGTCAGCATGCGCAGATAGCTTTACTCCGTGTTAAACCGTAAAAACGGACAAAATACCGTCAAAATGAATTAGTTTTGCAATAACAAAGACCAAATAAAACACTAAACTAACAATACATGTATAACAAAGGGTAATTTTAAGAATTCGTCTTCGTCCTCTCACCTCTGCTTACAGGACAAAATGGCGCCGTCTTCGAGACTGGGGAACGCGGCCGCGCGCAGAAGTATTTATATGCGCGTTCAGGTCTCTGCAGAAAGTAATGGGAGCCACCAGTTTGGGGCGTTTCTATAGCCCATGTGTCCTGGTTGGCTGACGTCGTAGTGACGATGGGTTTAGGTAAGGAGGATCATTTTGATTGCATGATTGAGTAACACCCTACAGTTTGAAAACACTCACAAATTCAGAAACGCCCACTTTTGCTCTGCAGAGACCTCAATCTCATTCACGCGCAAGGGGGGAGGGTAATGGCAGGCGAGGCTCGTGCATGCGTACGCAAACGTGTTGGAAATGGTTATTTCACGATTCCTTATATACTTATACAAGATACAACATATAATCAAATAAAGTGCTGGAATACATTTCATTGATTGCCTTTATATTTACCATTTGAGCTCAGTTTACACAGTTGGAAATGGATTGATCCAGTTTTGAAACCAAAGACATCACATGATCTGGCTATCTTTACTGCTGAACAAATGTGACCCTGGACCACAAAAAAAAACAGTCATAACGGTTTTAATAATTTTTCGTTACCTGAATAAATAAGCTTTCCATTGTTAGGATAGGATAATATTTGGCCGAGATATAACTATTTGAAAATCTGGAATCTGAGGTTGCAAAAAGATCAAAATATTGAGAAAATACTTTAAAGTTGCCCAAATGAAGTTCTTAGCTATGCATATTACTAATCAAAAATTACGTTTTAATATATTTACAGTAGGAAATTTTAAATATATATCTTCATGGAACATGATCTTTACTTAATATCAGAAGATGTTACTGTAGTTCTAAAAGAAATATGAATATGCATTAATTCATCTCTCACAAAAAAACCACAGATTCAGTATTCCTCAAAATGAATTAAAAAATGCAACTCAGAATATGACGCAAACCTGCAATAAGTAAATGTTAAACAACACAAATATCCTTTATGTGTTTAATCCCATTCTATTTGCTTCTGACCTTCGATGATCCAGTTCAACCATACAAATTACTCTAGACAAACACTTGTGTGTCTTTTTTATTGCTGAAGTGTGTTGAAATTTATTTCTACTGTACGGACGTAAATTTACTTTCCCTTCAGCCTGAGGCTTATTCATTTCACTTCTGGTGTGAAAAGGCTTTTATATTTGCCAAAAATAGAACTTTTTTATTTTAAAAACAAACAAGAAAGCCCTGTCCAGATTTAAAAAGTAACGCAAAAGTAACGTAACACATTACTTTCCATAAAAAGTAACTAAGTAACGTAATTAGTTACTTTTTTTAGGGAGTAACGCAATATCGTAATGCATTACTTTTAAAAGTAACTTTCCCCAACACTGGCTACAAATATACCCCAGCGACTTACAGTGAGTACGGAAAGTATTCAGACCCCCTTAAATTTTTCACTCTTTGTTATATTGCAGCCATTTGCTAAAATCATTTAAATTATTTTTAGTCACATGAGAACAATGACTCTTGGTAGGTGAGAATTCATTTTGATCAATGTTTAAAAGAAATGACCGTGTCCATCTCCACCCCGTGACAGCAATGAAATTCTGGGGGAAAAAACTTTGAATTTCTTTATTCTCTATTCATCTGTAAATGTCTGAAATTATCAATCACATCAAAACAAGAAGTACTAATCAAGGCTAGAAATGGCATCAGTGGGCAATGCCTACAAAACGGGTCTTCGCTTAACTAGTAAAAGATCTCAGTTGTGGATTAAATAAAACAAAAATTGCATCATAAGAATTGGGCTCCACAGGTTAATATCTTTGAAAAAAATAACAGTAAATAAAATCATATTCCAAATATAAAATTCAGTTTTATAAATATGTTGCCAAAAACATATTTCCTATAGATTTGACTCATGAAACACCCGTGTTGCCACCTACAATGCCATGCCATCCTGAGACAGAGGAGAGGATGAGCTTCTAGAGATGTGTCTGACAGGCAAAATGGTCCAGAAGGTCAAAATAATACAGCGAGATGTATCATTTACTCTGATATGGACCATAGTCAGGGTATACACCATATTTAATATTTTACGAATGAACAGACATTGAAATGTTTTTAACTTTGCTGTTGATCTGTCAACTGACAAAATACTGAAAATATGCTTTTCTAATAACATCTGTGGGTAAAACAATAGAAAATTGCCATAGGACCATAAGACATTCACCCTACTGAATAATCTGTACATCTCTCCCAGTTTTATTTTCATTTGTGAAAAATTAGATCTGGTGTCTACCTTTACTAAGGTCTATTGCCTGAAGACAGTAGAAAGACCTTACAACCTTTAGTTGTGGCCTTAAGTTACTGTTGAGGCTGGAATACATTTCACAACTTTTAAAATCGGAACAGATTTTTAAAACACTAGGCATTATATGCTTGCTGACTTTGTAAATGCTTACAGAGAAAACTGGGCATCGTTCACTAAACAATTAAGTATGACACAATTACAAGTCATGCTGAATGCAACTCAAACATGTTTGATCCTCCGAATGGATGGAATCATAGTCTGAAGCAAAAAAAAATCAAGTTTGTGACCATCATACACGAATCGATTTTCTGTGAAATCTGGCTCTGACTTTTAGCAATTACCATCGACTACTCCAGACTGAAAAAATTTGTGCAAAGGTAATATAGTGAGGTGTGGATGGCTCATTTTAACAACATTACTCTTTTCAGTCTGCACTTTTAAAAGCCAGAAACCAAATTTACTAAAGTAAAGAGAAATGACCATTAACACCTTTGCAACACTCCCTTTCTCTTAATCACTCAGACATTGCATTTAATCACAACACTGTCATACAGTACTACTGATACCAGACCTGATGTGCAGACCCCTCACTCGATCCTACCCATCCCCTCAACATCATGCTCACAAATGCCCCCTTTGTGTCCTCAACGACTGAACAACAGGGGTCTTTTGTTTCAGTTGAGTCCAGCATATCAATGGCTTACAGTTATAAGGCTGCAATTTCCAACTGTTGTCAGTATGTCTGAGACACAATGTGCCATCGACTTTTTAGTGTAAATTAATTGAAAACCTTGCACTAAAATATATATTAAAAAACAGAGCTAGAAATAAAATTAATGTAAATCAAAGATGACATTAGTTTGACATCATACAATTAAATTAAAGCAGATTAATATTACTATAAGTCACTGAGGAAAAAAGTATGGTTAAAGGAGTTCCTCTTCAGATGATACACTTATTCAATCACAAAATAGAAAATCATTTATAACACAACAAAATTGGCTAAATCTGGAGAACATTCATATCCAGATGAAAGTTCAGGATTTATGAGGAAAGGGCCTGTAGTGCTGTCACACGCCAGCAGGGGGCGTCCAGCAGTCCATCATGATCGCCCATCATTCATATTGTCCTATACACTTGAGAGAACTTGAGAGAGAGAAGAATAAATGGCAAACACTGTTTTCATTTCTCTAAAATCTGAGTAAAAATCAAACCATTCTAAAACTTTAAGAGTACCATTGCAAGGTTTTTAAATCCCTATAGGCTCTACTGAAAAACATGACTTTGATTTCCTCATTCAGATAGGCCATGAGGGCTTGCATTCATCCAGTCCAGCAGGAGGCGCTGTAGCAGCAGGATCAGAGGTTGGAGTGTATGTGTGTTCAAATTAGTGTAAAACTGCATCTAAATATATATGTAAGATCACACGCGTGTGTGCCTGCAGCTGTGTGATGATCCAGCGGCCGCCTCCGTGGCAGACGAGGGCTCATCGTCACTGGAATCGTGTGTGTGTGAGTGTGTGTTCTCCTTCCGAAGGCCCATGCTGATATGGCACTGGAGTGCGGCGGGTGTAAGCCACTCTTTAGGCAGACAACTCTGCAGAAATGGAATACAGGAGCTTAAATATGCCAATCGATTGACCCAGCGTGGGATCTCTCTACCACACAGCAACTAGAGAAAGTGAGAATAAAATCATGTGAGAATGTAGAATGTCATCAGTCAGTGAAGTTGTATACAGCCTAGTCCTATCATTTATAAAAAAGACAGGCAGAAAAAAGGCGTCTGTGGAGTAAACTAACCTCAGACAGCGAAGAAGAAAAATGGTTACAGTTTTTGTGCATCAGGTGGTAGGAGTTCCCCTTGAACTCCTTTCCAAGCTCCTCCATTATTTTATCAATGTCCTCCTCTGCAAAGTCTGTCGTACCCAGAGCTATAGCCTCTCTGGAGAAGAAACAGAACTTGTGTGTTGTTTTTTTGTGGCTTAAAGGGATACGCCACCCCAAAATGAAAATTTTGTCATTAATCACTTACCCCCATGTCGTTCCAAACCCCTAAAAGCTTTGTTCGTCTTCGGAACACAATTTAAGATATTTTGGATGAAAACCGGGAGGCTTGTGACTGTCACATTGACTGCCAAGTAAATAACACTGTCAAGGTCCAGAAAAGTATGAAAGACATCATCAAAATAGTCCATCTGCCATCAGTGGTTCAACCGTAATGTTATGAAGCGACGAGAATACTTTTTGTATGTGAAGAAAACAAAAATAACGACTTTATTCAACAATTCGTCTCCTCTGTGTCTCTCACTGTAGCGCCATTTTGGAGAATAACCACTGAACGCAAGCAACGTACGCTATTCTGTGTCAGCCGCGACACAAGGATACGTTTTCTACGTGTATTTACGCTTTGATTTGAACGAAAACAGCGTATCCGTGCAGCACGGCTGACACAGAAGAGCGTACGCTGCTTGCGTTCAGTGGTTATTCTCCAAAATGCCGCTACAGTGAGAGACACAGAGGAGACGAATTGTTGAATAAAGTCGTTATTTTTGTTTTCTTCGCGTACAAAAAGTATTCTCGTCGCTTCATAACGTTATGGTTGAACCACTGATGGCAGATGGACTATTTTGACGATGTCTTTCATACTTTTCTGGACCTTGACAGTGTTATTTACTTGGCAGTCAATGGGACAGTCACAAGTCTCCCGGTTTTCATCCAAAATATCTTAAATTGTATTCCGAAGACGAACAAAGCTTTTAGGGGTTTGGAACGACATGGGGGTAAGTGATTAATGACAAAATTGTCATTTTGGGGTGGAGTAACCCTTTAAATGTGTGTGTATATGTGATTGTGTATGTGTAAAACTCACTTGAATTTGAAAGTCTCCCCCAGTTCTGAGGCATTTCCAGGGTTGATCTCAAAAATGCCACTAAAGGGATACGGATGGCCACCATATGCAAACTCTTCAGGAAACACAGCAAAAACATTAGTAGGAAAGTAGGAATTTCATAAATATATTGTGCTTAAAAGTCATCATAAAATGACAACTTGTTTTATTATAGTTTATTATAAACAACTAATTTGTACACATCATTAAAAAAGCATAAGCATTCATAAACTTTAATCAAAAATATCAACATCCCACCTCGCAATAATCCCTCCTCTCCAGCAACCAGTCACTCACAAAACAAACAACAATGATCTAATCAATTCCCGATGAACAAAATAAAACCCCATCCTAAATGTTCCCATTTGTGAAGCTTTTTTACTCAGATATACATCACAACAGTTAAGAAAAGATGGTCACAATTTCTGTTTAATGCTAACTTTAACTAGAATATTTCTAGTATTAACTACTTGGTTATTTGTTATTTAGCAGTTTAATCTAAAGTGATTTACTTAGACAAGCCCTCATAACAATTAATTTTTATGTTTTAAATGTGTAGAGCACTGAAATAATGACATCATTTTGCAGATCAACACGGAAGTAAGCATCACCCTGCTTCCCTCAATAAAAATCCCAAAAGATTTTTCCATTGACTTCCATTGCCAACAAAAGTTTGATTCTTATACATTTTGTTCATAACGATAATCTTCACAAATTAAAACATTTATAATGAACTTTTAAGCCTAAATATTATAGCCTGAAGTAAAAAGCTAAACATAGGCTATAAATGAACAACAGTGGTCACATGACTTCAAAGTTTGAATAACTCAACGCATAGTGAGAGCAGCTGAGAAGATCGTTGGTGCCTCTCTCCCCTCCATCCAGGACATTTACAACACCCGTCTCACCCGAAAAGCCCTCTGCATTGCAGGTGATCCCACCCACCCGACACACAGCTTCTTCAGTCTGCTGCCATCAGGGAGGAGACTGCGGAGTCTCCAGGCCAGGACCAGCAGACTGAAGGACAGCTTCATCCATCAGGCTGTCAGGAAGCTGAACTCCCTCCCGACCATGCCCCCCCTCCCCTCTTTTGCCCCACGCACCACTGAACTCTGACCCTCTGACGGACTCTCCCACTCCCCCCCTCCCAAATACACACACACACACTGTCACTTTAATCAGTCTGAATAAGCTCTTTTGCACTACAAATCATTATATCTGCACTGTTATTTACTTCACTGGTTTGCACTCTATCTGCCATGTGCCTTGTGCTGCTTTATATATTTTTTTATATCTTACCTTATTTGTATATTTGTATAGTTGTATTTTATATTTAATCTGTATGCACCAAGGGCCTGAGAGTAACGCAATTTCAATTCTCTGTGTGTATGTGCTGTACGTGGAAGAATTGACAACAAAGCAGACTTGACTTTAACTCATTTTCTGAGACATTTTCCCTGAAAATTTGAGTTACAATAGTACAATAGTCCCTGACAGTTTCTGTAGTCCCATTAAGCCACTTTTGTCAAGACAAGTAAAAACGTTTTAAAAAATCACAAGGGCGTATTACTGATGTATTTTATGTCATAGAACCACATATGTGTGTTAACCACAGACCTTAGTTCAGGCATTTAACCAAAAATTCATTTAAAAAAAACATTGACTTCAGGATGAAGGAATTGGAAGTGCTAAAATGCTAACTCGTTTTCGGGCTTTGGCCTACAAAAATGTAATCCCTGCAGCACTTTATTAGTGAGAAGCTAAAGCTCTGTAAAAATCCAAATGAATCATGGCTCAGTCCTCAGAGCTGCCTACATCTGCTCTGTATCAATGTCGCTGAGCAGTGTGTGTGTGTGTGTGTGTGTGTGTGAAAGGGTAAAAAAAGGAAATAGTGAAAGAAGTTCTGTCACTTTATGACTCAGATCAGAGGCCTCACTAATGGCTACAGTTTTTTCCTCTGTTGTGTTCATCACTACAGACACAGACAACACTTTACTGCCACTCGTAGGTGAAGTCAAGCCATTTGCAAAGCTTACACATGGTACATAATGCATTTAAATGCTAGTGACAAGGCTCAGATTGCAGAAAGATGATACAGTGATTGCATCAGTGACCGTGTTGAATGAATAAAAACATGTACAAGCAAGAACAGTGATGCCATATCAAATATCGCCTTACTTCAATGTGGCTATTCCAACTACTATTTTAAACAAATACTGTAATGATGAATCATATTCAGTTGCTCATTCACTTCTAAATTATTTTCACTCTCATTTTGTCACAGTATTTTTATTTAGAACTCTAAATGTATAGACAAAATCTCTACCAACTACCATGTCTACTAATTGCAGTCCTAGTAGCTAAAACAGCCTTTTTCACATAAGTTCTTTACAAATCGGACCAAGGTTCCAATAGAGGTCTAGAGTTTGATGAAAAAATAAAATAAATTAAAATAATAGCAAAAGGTTAATTGGTCACTGTACCTCTGCCGTAAATCTCTATTCCTGAGTGGAAGACTCCAATGCCCAGAGTGGAGGTGTATTCATTTATCCAGTACTAAAAGAGCAAGAAGGAAAAAGAGATCATATAATAACATATATTTTAATTACAGTAAATAAAAAATTATTTGTTCGTCTATGTCTGGAGAGTCACACATTTATTATAAATATGCATTTATTAATCTATCTATCCATATATATATATATATATATATATATATATATATATATATATATATGTGTGTGTGTGTCTGTGTGTGTGTTAACTATAAGGCATTAAAATCAGTTAATGCTACACAACCCTGACACACACTATACAATATAAGCTTTAAAGTGGAGGGGGAGGGGTGAATATTCAGATATGTTTCTGTGTGGGGCCAAAAAGGTGGACCAGCTGCCGTTCATGAATAATAGAACATGCAGAACATGATTTAATGTACACAGAAAAAATACTAGCATATACCCATGCCTCTGATTAAATGTAAATGTAAAATAAATTGATAAAAATACAGTGTCCGCATATATGTACTCACTAATCACTTTCTTGGTTTTTTGACATATTACATAAAATGTACAGTCACTTACAGACATAGTTTTAGTACATTGGTGAAAAGTAGTGTGCTACTTCATAAATAAAAAGCTAAAAAAGTAGGATTGGGCCTACCACAATCACTGATCTCTTGTAGGCTATACATAAGCATGTTTATTGATCTATTATTATAGTTCTGGGACCACCATAGACTATAAAAACAGGTGACCCCATGTGTTCTGTACTAGTAAAGTGTGTTTTGATTGTGATGGGGTGACAGCGCCTCCTCCAGCACAGGAGGAGAAACACACACGCTCTCATCTCGGCCATAGACTCGCACATCAATACTGCTGTCAATGCTTAATTAAACCTAGGCAAAGTAGGTTTGTAATCGTGTTTTCAAAATGATACCACTGTGTCAGCGGCCCAGATTCTTTATCACTAGACTGTGACCATCAATGCATTGTTATTTCATCTTACATTTATTACATGCAAAATTACACAAAATTAGAGCCAGAAGGAGCGAGGTTGATGATAAATAGTGTAAAGGATGAAATGATGAATGAGCTTACCATGTCATACACATTAAGAATAACGGGTTCATTTGCCATCCTGAGAGAGAAGCGCGCGCGATCCCTTAATTATAACGGGCGTTTATTGCTCTCGAGACAGCTGCCCTCCTCGCGCACCCGGGTGTCGGTTCCAAAGAAGATTAAAACACACAGCAAAGTCGAAACGCCAACACCCAAAAGACCAAAACACGATATAAATGATTCGTTCTTGTCATTTTATCCATCAAAGAGTCATTATGAGATGTTTAGGGGGGCTCGCGGGCCTAGTCGCGTTCCTAGAGAAGAAACAGCGGCAGCAAAGGTAGACACGGTCGAGGAAAGGCAACAGGGCATCAGCTTCCATCAATGGTGAATCTAGCGGGGAAAAAACAGGCACTTGTGGCCTCCGGGTGAGCAGCGCGCGGACAGTCTCCGTTAAGCGCGAGGAGAAGAGAGCACAGGCACCGAGTAAAACGGATTTCACCGATTTTCAAGGGTAGACACTAACCAAAAAAGTCCTAAAAGGGCGCAGATGATCGGCGATGCACAACGACTGGCTGTCAGTCAAATCAGGAGTTTGAATTTCCGTAAGATGACAGATATTCCATATAGAATGTTGCTGTAAAGAAGCGGGGTTTTGCCGCTTGTCTGAGCGCAGGGGTCGCAGCTGTGATGTTGAAGGGAGCTTGGTGCAGTCCTGACCGCAACAGCCATCAGCGCCGCAGTCCCGGAGTTTGCTCTCATGGAGGCCGCGCTGAGCAGCACTGACGCGGGGTGAAAATTCTTAAGCACGGTTACTGTATTGACGATGACATCACTCTGGCCGGGTCACGAGCGTGAGGATTCTAGTGTGCACTAGAACAAACGGAGCGTGCGATTATTACATCATCATCATCATCAGTACGCAGCGTTCCATCCGCGCCGAGCGTTATATCGGGGCGGGGGCGGTGCGTTATTCCAATCTACAAATATAACAGGATTCTTTCTGCTCTCCAAAGAAAGACGCATTCCCAGAATTCTCGCAAGCCAGAATATTTATTTAGATTTTGCTTAAAAGGTTAGAATCTTTTTATTTTTGTAATTTTTTTTCGTTGTTTTTTTCAGTTATGCACATTGGAGGGATTTATATGGTATTTGTGTTAGTTAATGTTTGCTGCATTTTAGTGTCACCTAGTGATGTTTGGCCACACTTAAAATGAATTTAACCTTTTTTTTGTTTGTTTTTTGACTGTATCATTACAGAAACTAATTTGAGATAGTGCTCATCACTCTCATATGGTTTATTTGTGACAGAGAGAGGATGGGAGTTAGCTTTAATGCTTAATATGTGTGTAACCCATAACATGGTGAAGCTGTCAGCCTTCATCTAGGTTTAGGCTATTTGATTGATGGTGTCTGAGCAAAATTGCACTGTTAAGGCAAAGGTATACTTTGGCCTTTAAGTTGTACAGTATGTGTGTCCATATGTGCTTTTGAATCGACATCCCATTTCTCATAAATTGTCAGCAGAAATCTTGTCTAGAGTACAGTAAGCGCATACAGGAGTGTGTTAGACATTATTATTAGAGCAGAGTCTTTAGCTGTCATTTGTGCTGATTGTCCAAAGCGACTCACAGAGCATTTATTATAATTCCTTAACTCAAAATGGTCGTTAAGCCTATACTGAATCCCCAACCTTTGTTTTAAATGCCGTAAATAACCCGAATGTTTATTGTAAATAGCCCATATCATTAATCATCCTGATGCCACCACCCTTTCTGCTTCAGCCATGTGGTGTAATGTAATATAAGACTCCAGAGGAAGCTCTGCATTATCGTTCTCTTTTGTTTCTCTCTCCTACTTTAAGTGCATTCAGCCACTGCTGCCTTTGAGAGTATTGATTTCTGATGAGGAGGACTAATACACACACTGACATACACACACACTGACACGAACATGCACATACCAGTACTCATTTGTCAAAAGCATCTGCATCCGCTCTCAGACAGCGGTCCATCCATTTAGACAGAGAGACAGCAGCAGTCCTTCCACTCACACAGACAGCATGTTATCCTGAGTCAATCATCTGAATGGGACCCAGATACAGAAAATTCTCTGCATTTCATCCATTTCTAACAAAAGAAATTACTGAGCTAGAGGAAGCTTCTTGGTTTCTCACAGTACAAAATATTTTGAATCTGCAGCCAATAGTCATGTTTAAGGTGGCATATATTTATGGCAGGAAGGATCCATGCTTCATGTTGTTATAACACCAAATTCCGACCCTGCCATCCAAATGTTGCAACAGAAATTGAGACCCATCAGACCAGGCAACCTTTTTCCAATTTCTATTGTCCAAGTTTGGTGAGTCCGTGTGAATTGTAGCCTCCGTTTCCTGTTCTTAGCTGACTCGGGTGGCCTGTTGCACATCTGCTTAAAGGTTTGGCATGCTTTGTATTTAACTTTGTATTCAGATAGATGCTCTTCTGCATACCTCGGTTGTAATGAATGATTATTTGAGTTACTGTTGTCTTTCTATTAGCTCAAACCAGTCTGGCCATTATCCTCTGACCTCTGGCACTGACGAGGCATTTTCACCCACAGAACTGTTGCTCACTGACCATTTTCTGTAAACCCTGGAGATGGTTGTGTGTGAAAATCCCAGTAGATCAGCAGTTTCTGAAATACTCATACCATCCCCGTCTGGCACCAACAACCATGCCATGTTCAAAGTTCTTTTTTTTCTCCATCTGATGCTCATTTTGAATTTCAGCAGATCATCCTGACCATGTCTACAGGCCTAAATGCATTGAGTTGCTGCCAAGTGATTGGCTGATTAGATATTTGCATGAACAAGTAGTTGAACAGGTGTACATAATAAAGTGGTGGGTGAGTGTATATTATTTTATCTTTTTATTTTTTATTCCCTGTATATGCTCCGACAGTGTCAACATAGGAAATCAGAATTTATGTAAAATCCTGAAGGGGGCAGTAAAGACAGTTATGCAGCTGACTGTGATGTATGTTTTTATCATCACTAACCTTTGCCTGTGGCCTAAAGTCAACATGTCCTCCCACAAAACTAATTAATTTTAATAGCTTGTATTCATTTAGGTAAATGTCAATTTATAAACACACTTATTAATTCATGTTCATTCCTTTTAAATTATTCAACTTAAATGTAAAGAAATGCACTCATAAGTACATGAAGTCAACAATTTTAAGCCATTTGAATTGTTACATACACATTTCAAACCATGAGAAGCACACAAACATAAATCTGTTTTTTCAAACAAATGGTTTATTCAATGCATGATGCATGCGAATGAGTAACATTATTCTAACTGTGAAACGTGAATGAGCATTTCATGAAGACTTTACATATGGTTTCATCCATACAGACCTGCAGAAGAACTGACAACACAAACACACATTTGTCAGTTACAGAACAGATAGTACAGTCAGAAACAGCGCAAGAAAACCTGCAGACTGCAGACAGGGAGCAGCAGCTCAATGTGGCAAGGCACGAGTTGAGAGAGGTGCAGAAAAATATTAATGTACGAGACAAGACGATTCCAGAAACACAAGCCATATACAATATTAACAATATATCATTTTCATTCTGATTGTGAATTCTAGGAAGTGCCACATCTAGTTTGTTTTTTCCCCTGAGGGAGGAAAACCAAATACAAGGCCAAGCTCTGATGGCAAATAAACAGTTTGAACGTCTTTACCTCCTCCATCACTACCAATGCCACATAAACACCTCCTGCATGCTTGGACATGGATGAGTGAGAAATTAAAGTATTAAAAAAAGAAAAAGCTGACTCCATTCACATCACTCATGCTTTCAAACATACTCTTGCACAAGCAGGTACCTGAGAAGCCCTCACATAATGTAATGGCACACCTTGGGCTCATTCCAGCACTCTGGCAAGGCGAGAAAAATCATTCCTCTGTGGAACTGTCTTCTGCCAAGAAACACAGTTCCACCTCGGCCTCTGTCTCCTGCCTGTGGCTCCTCTGTCTAGTTCAGAGATTTCTGCTGCTGTTGATCCAAACACTGTGCTCATCATCCCTGTTCCCTTATTCCACCCTGCAATGTCATCAGGCATGCTGGGTATTCTGTTTAAGCGCCAATGATTATCACCAAATTAATTGTGAAAACCTGTTACAGCTACAAGTGTGTGGTCATAACATGGTCTAAACAATTAAAGAAAATCTGCAAGTTCTGTTAACATTTTTCGCTCCCTGTTAATGTTTGGGCCTTCAGCAGAAACAGTTCAAAAAAAAAAAAAAAAAAAGAGGGTAAAATGTCATGTAATCATGTAATGGGTTAAAACGGGCCCCGGGACGCCCGGGCGTGGAACTGAAGGCGTTTGTAAGCGATGAAACCTGCTGCTGTTATAACTGCCAGGGCGACTACAGTACACATTGTCCATGTGCCGAAAGCAGATGAAGATTCTCCATCGGCACGAGAGCTGGTGGGGCCGTTCTGCAGGTTTGGCTGTAGACATAAACACATGTCAGTGAAGCTGATTAATTTACTGTCAATTCTCAGACACGTTATCAACATCATGATCGCCATAGCCTGCAGTACTTACTCCCTGCTGTACTCGAAGATGCACATCCTCTCCTGCAGACCGAAACAGCTCCACTGCTGCACTGTGAGACAGATTGTCCAAATTCTGGCCATTTATCTACACAAAAAAAAACAATCAAATATACATGATTCATTTTAAAGTTGTCATATCAAGACATCCAATTTTCCTTAATATTTTGTATATACACTATTTCGTTCACAAGTTTGGGGTCGGTAAGTTTTTTTTAGTCAGCAGGGATTTGTTAAAATTATCAAAAGTGACAGTAAATACATTTACAATAATATTATTCATCAAAGAATCCTGAAAAAAATGTACCATGGTTTCCATGCAAATATCAAGCAGCACAACTGTTTTCATATAAAATAATAATAATAAATGTTTCTTGAGCAGCAAATCAGTATATTAGAATGAATTCTGAAGTAACAGCTGTTTTGGCAACTCAGGAATAAGCGGACATTTAAAATAGAAAACAGTTCATTTATATTGTAATAATATTTTACAATATTGCCATTGTATTACGTAATACTACTTAACAGTTAAAAGCAGTTACAGACCACAAATCTTTGGGGGGGGGAAAAGTATATAAGAAAATAAAAATATATTCACTTTTGTTCTGGTAACACAACCACAAAAATAAGTGCAATGCTGTAGTATCATTATTGTGAGGAGCTGCATTAAAGCCGAGTAAGGTCATCCACAGGATTACAGCGAGCATTGATTTACAATAAATCACTCATGTACAGTTGTGCTGTTGTACAGTGAAGTGGCAGTATTGATTCAAATTTAAGTATAGAGATAGTCAAGCATTAAGTATTAGTAAAGTATGATTTGTCAACCATGTACAGTAAATTACAGTGATTTTACCGCAAGAATTTTGTCTCCCTCCTGCAGACGTCCATCCAGTGCAGCCGCTCCATCATCTTTGATTTTTGCCACATAGATTCCACTGTCATTCATAATATACTGCTGGTCAACTCCACCCACTATATTAAACCCCAGACCTGTCACAGACAGAGAGGACGTTACACACAGCACAAACACAAGTGTTTGAACTACTTACATCATTACACTGAGCCTGAAATACGTTCAGAGGGCCTTAATGTGATTTCTGAAGAAATGGGGAAGGGGGAAAAAACAGACATGATCCCATCCAGACGTCACTTCTTAAGATAAAAGGGTCTCGTTTAGGGCTACATGATAAATCGAAATGGAATTGAGATCGCGATTCGACAGAAGCTGCGATTGTCATGTGTATCTTTCAGTGAAGCACGGTTCTGTGATCAGCAGTAAATCTCCATCCAAAGGCCAGAGGGCGCTCTCGCGCTGAAACTCCAAATACGCCTCGCAGAAGAAACCCAGAAAATGCCTAATGCTGAATAAACAAAAGATTCAACTGCTTTCATTGATTCAACGTGACTAATAAACACACAACTACGGCAGTATACGGTTTATCGGAGTTCTTATTATTATAATTTCCATTAAAATAAAGTATATTTATATAAATATAAAAGATAAAAGTATATCACTGCTTAAATACTATGAAATATGTTGTGTGCCTTATTCTGTGTAAGAAGCCACATCATCTCACAGAAGGATTTATTTCAAACACTCGACTGACGTTATGAAGTGAGTTTGGAGTCATATGTTATTAAATGTGGTATTTTCACATGCTTTCAGATGGAGCAGCATTTACTTCACAGAGCCGTAGTTCACGGAGAAGCTATGCAAACAGCTGTCATTATCGCGCCATCCAAGGTGTAGCTAAAATATGAGTCCTCTATCCATAATATTGTTTTTTCCAATGAAGCAGTCATGAATCAGGAGAGAAAGTTTTGTCCAGAAGTGATGGTTTAAAGTTAAAACACCTTAATGATGGAATTGTTTATTACAAACACACGGCTTTTCAGTTCAAAAGACATTTCACAGGCCGGAGTTGGGAGGATTATTGTGATGTTTTTATCAGCTGTTTGGACTCTCATTCTGACGGCACCCATTCACTGCTCTATCCATTGGAGAGCAAGTGATATAATGCTACATTTCTCCAAATCTGTTCTGATGAACAAAAAAAACTCATCTACATCTTGGATGCCCCAATGTTGAGTAAAATTTCAGCAAATTTTCATTTTTGTGTGAACTATTCCTTTAATTAGTAACCAAAAATTGTTTGACATCATGCAGTAGATAAAGAACCAACATTTCTGTCATTTTCACCAGAATAACCAGTTATGACATTCTGATTAAACATGCACGAATCCTTCACAATAGCATCTATAATATGGATTTTGAAACTAAATAAAGTACAGCATGCCGACTTTAAAATGTAGTTTATTAAAGATAAATCAAAATATGTTTGGTAAGACAACGGAGTCTGGAATTAAAAAAAAAAAAAAAAAAAATCTAAATTTAGCAGTCATGCCTCACAGCACACTAGTGGACAGTTTTGCACCTGATATTGTTTTACTGTAAGATAATGTGTTAAATATTGGGGTCTAAATATCATTTCATTTATCGGGGATCAAAAACAGGATATTTTCTTTCCAATACCGAGAATTTGATTGTCTATAAGGGGTGGGTCTGGAATTAATTAAACTAATTTGACCCATAGTGTTGATGATGTATTATGTCTCTGCTATTGTTCTCAGTCCTACTATTTAATCACAAGTCAAAGTCCAGGGCTTTCAGAGCAGTCCAGTCCATGCCCTCGCAGAGGTCACACACACCAACGCATTATATAAGAGTTGAATCAAAGTCAACAAGAAGCTGAGACTGTCAGCTCTCAGAAACTGAACTAATGGATCGGTACCAGACCCACTACTCCTAAAATAAATTTTAAAAACAGCCAAATATAGTGTGCTTGAATCAGTCGGAAATGTGTCTGTTTGTACATGTCGGTCCATTATGCTGATGGCGTATTGTGCTGGTTCTGATCTAAACTTAACTTTCGCTTTCATAACAACACCAACGTCTCTTAATAAACCCGATCTGGTCGTCTGCAGAACACAGTCGGGTCCGGACGGTCTGTTCGGGTTCACTACGCCAGTTATGTCAGCATTTCTTGCGGGAGCGGACCGAACCGCCAGGCTGAACTGTTTCAACAGTGCAGGAGAAGTCGAAGAGAGAGACAAACGTACCAGCCGGGCCTCTTTTCAGCGTCATTTCTACATCGTCTGCAGAACACAGTCGGGTCCGGACGGTCTGTTCGGGTTCACTACGCCAGTTATGTCAGCATTTCTTGCGGGAGCGGACCGAACCGCCAGGCTGAACTGTTTCAACAGTGCAGGAGAAGTCGAAGAGAGAGAGACAAACGTACCAGCCGGGCCTCTTTTCAGCGTCATTTCTACAACGCTCAGCGCGTTGTGTGCGGATCCGTTCATGTTGTCGGAGAAGTTTCACTTTTTATTCCCGAACAGCTAAAACCCTCCTAAAGCGTGCGGAACCCCGCCTGCTTCCTCTAATGCTGCCGGGATACGTGCGTACCCGCCACTGCCCCCTAACGGACACCACCGGAACACTTTCACAGTGCACTGCAGTGAGGGGAGGCCATGCCTTGTCCAAATACACACACTTGATCACTTGACTACTTATATGACGTATTTCCTGTATTTGGCCCAAGTGTTCAAGTGAGCATGAAGACCACAAGTGTGTAGAACTTTTCATTACCTGATGGGCCACACTTGTAGTGTTGTAAAAATGCAAGTGTTTACACAGCTTTATTTTTATTTGAATTACTTTGCATTTTAAAATCAACCTCTAAATGTCTGTTCAGTAGTCCCTATAACATGACATCATTTTAATTTGTGGTGCTTCTAATTAAATGATAAAAAGCAGTTGCAAATGTTGTACAAAATAAATATCACCACTACTTATCTTTGCACCAATAAAAGTAAAAACACCTGTTTTTCCACCAAATTATTTGTAATATCTAATTATTATATTAATATTTAACTTACATTGGAAAGGTTTCCGTGACCTCTCGCGAGATCTCGGCAAAAAGTCTCACGATTTATTTCCAGAACATGATGCATGATGGGATACACTTAGCCTTGAATAGCGCTCTGGAGTGGTATTCGAGGTAGTGTGGATTTAGTATCCATTAAGGGCACTGCACTTTGGCATTTTGAAGACATGGGACAGACTTGCACACTTACTTCCTGTCGCACACACTCGCTCTCAAGTGGCCAAGACCGCAAGTGTGGGTATTTGGACAAGGGGCCAGACTAATTTCCGAGAATCGGTTCTTGCAAACAGTTCAACACTGGTTAAAAAAATTTATTCGGTATTTACGTCATGATGTGTCCCCTGACATTCCAGCGTGGCATTAAAAGGCATATGTTGGCACATATTGATGCTTATTTTGTGTGTGTGTGTTTTAAATTAGAATTATTAATAACGACGTTTATCGTAATTTTTATAGCACACAAAGGAAATAGCACATTAAATGCTCAAATTAATAAATTAATAAAAACGTTTTAATAGACCAGTGACGACTGCACAGAGTAGCAATATAACAGAACGTTCAAATGTATCTAGTATGATCAAACGGTGATGCTTTACCCCACATACGCACGACCGGAAGGAGCGGAAGCGGTCGACTGTGGCATAATAAAAGCTCCGCTGCTTTCGAGCCGTGTGTCACGCTCATTCAGCGGCCTCGTTTCGCTTCAACGGCTTTCAGCTTCACCCTGCTTCATTCTACTACGTTAATAAATCATTAGCTCATCCATGAACATGATTTCTGCCCGAGTACCGTCGGATTGCATCGGCTGTGGGGATGAAGACGACAACTCCCATGATTCCACACTCAGTCACGGCGTCATCAAACTATGCCTTTGCTTCTTTGTTTATTTTGAATATGTGCCCTCCAGCGGCGAAAATGACATATTGTGCCTTTAACCAGTCAAATGCTGTCGACGAATCGAATGTGTTGTTTGAAGGGACGGTTCACGGTTAAATCAAATCATTAGATTCAAAAGAATTTTGAAAAAGAGTTTGATATCTGTCAAAAACATGAAAGAGCATCATGGTCCCCAGGTTGCCTTTTTAAATGTTTGAACCCAAGAGTGGAGTGCTAATATTGAATTGTAACAATTGTAACGAAGCTAATTCTTACACATGGGTGCAAACAGTATGTGACAAAGGCACAATTTTATGACATGGCAGTTTGTCCCAATACTTACACTTGTCTAAATTAAACTTAGGCACATTTCCATGACCAGTGAAATGCATACTTATAATAAACAGCAAAGCTTGGGTTTACAAATTAAGCGTGTAATTATGTAGGTTAAATTACTTCCTCTTATCTCAGGTCAACATGCAGAATACAATATGACCAAGCACATTTCAATTGGGGTAGTACAGCATTTATTCTGACATAATTGTTTGCTTATCTCCATTATCACAATGGTTTCATTAATATGGTTTTATTGAAAATAATGAACATTTTCCAATATCCATAACTAAATAAAATAATATTCAGCCATTCAGATCTGATGTAATTCAGCACAGTGTCACAGCTCTGGTCTGCAGTTTCCTGAATTAGAGTTTATGACCCCTCATGGGCCTTGGTACTGTACCATCCTAATACAATAGGTGTTTGGAACAGTACACTTTTCGTTTTTACAAAATTTGTTTTACATGCTAAAGAGTAACTAGCATAATGCATTCTGAAAGGAAAAACAGAAAGTTATATTGCTTTAGATATATCAACGATACCAGTGTCCTGGTGACCTCTCAGAGGGGCCGAAACTTTCTCTACATCTATATTTCATTTGTTAGATCATGTGTTTGAGTTTGACTAATCTGCAGAGGCAGATAACAAATATATCATTATAACTTTTAGAAATTTCTGTTTGGCACACTTTTTTGGAGATAATCTATACTTTTCAAGGACCAATGACTTAATATGTCACCTCAACATTGTCAAATCGCTCCTATGCCCGTAGGTTTTAGATCATGCTGGGGGCTGCACTGAACAGAATGAGGTCTCCCTCTATGTGCAGGCGAGTGACATCCTCCATCCCGCCTGTTCTGTGCTCAAACTCCAGCAGATGAACGCCATCCATGGCCACTTTAAACCCATCTGTCTCCACCAGGATCTTCAGCTGTACACACAAATACATTATATGAAACCTCAAATGAAACCCAATATGGCTTAAAGGAATAGTTCACCCAAAAACTGAAAAATTTGCTGTAAACAAGTTTGTTTCTTCACAGGAACAGATTTGGAGAAACTTAGCATTTTACATCACTTGCTCACCAATGGATCCTCTGCAGTGAATGGGTCACAGAATGAGAGTCCAAATAGCTGAAACATCCCAATAAACCACAAGTAATTCACACAACTCCAGTCCATCAATTAACATCATGGGAAGTGAAAAGCTGTGTGTTTGTAAGAAACATATTCATCGTTAAGATGTTCTAACTTTAAACCATTGCTCCTGGCCAAAATATGGGCCCATAATCCATAACAACGCTTCCTCCAGTGAAAAAGTTCATATCCTGTTGTCCTCTTACATCAAAATCCACCAACATATTTGTTTAGAACAATGCTCGATCTGTGCATATTTGCACAGATCAAGCAACAATGCATATTTATCTTATAATGCAGCAACAACCTTTTCACTGGAGAAAGCAATATGGATAGAGGACTCATATTTTAACCAGAAGCATCTGTTTAATGATGGATTTCTTTATTACAAATAAGGAGCTTTTCATTTCACAAAACATTAATTGATGGACTGGAGCCATGTGGGCTACTTATGGATTATTGTGATGTTTTTGCAGCTGTTTGGACTCTCATTCTGACAGCACGCATTCACTGCAGAGGATCCATTGGTGAGCACATAATGTAATTCTAAATTTAACCAAATCAGTTCTGATGAAGAAACAAACTCATCTACATCTTGGATTGCCCGAGGGTGACTACATTTTCAGCAAATTTAAATTTTTGGGTGAACTATTGTAGTTCTATTCTATTCTAGTATGAAAAAAATACTATGGAAGTCAATGGGTACCAGAAACTGCTTAGTTACCCACATACCAAAATATCTTCTTTTGTGTTCAGCAGAAGAAAGAAATTCATACAGGTTTGCAACAACTTAAGGTTGAGTAAATGATGGCAGAATTTTCATTTTTGGAGTAAATGACGGCAGAATTTTCATTTTTGAATGAACTATTCCTTTAAGTTCCTTCTCTATGGGTAAATCAGAAGGCTGTACCTCAAACTGTCTGCCCTGCACAAAGGGAAAGCCTCCCTCCCTTTCCTCAGGACCCCAGCAGCCCCCAAGCTGTGTGTTCCGTACGATGGTGTTCTCATGGAAACGAGGGTTGAAATGGAAAACCACGTCATGCTCCCTCACAAAATCTACATGGAACCTGAAAAAAGAGAAGTGAGAGTTTGCTTTGCACACACAGATGTAATGCCGTATTTTTATTTTTTATTACCTGTTTCCTCCTGGTACTGGCTCACCCACTATAGTAATCAGGAGACGGGGCATTATCCCTGCATGTAGCGGAAGATCATACGGCAATGGCTAAAACACACACATACACACAAGTTATTTGAGATGTTCTTAACAGTGAGAACATCTGTGAAAATGGGGCAGAACCTATCCTTGATCCTTGCTATTGTGCGATGAACAAAATGAAAAAAATCTGTCACAATACCAATAACTTCATCAATATTAGTCATGTTTAATAGTATTAACTGATACTAGTAAAATAAAAAATAAAAAGATTTCAAATATGCACCATTAACCAATATAGTATAGATATATTGTGCACCCCTAATTGCAAAGAAAACATCTTCTCTGCAAGCAGCTCCACCTGACAAACTATCCTAACATGACCTCTATATCCCAAAATCTAGGGCTATGCGATATTGAAGAAAAATGCGATATGCGATACCTTGTTAAAAATGCGATATTCGATATGCGATACGATATTGCTTAAAGTGTGTAAAATCAATTTAAATTATATTTTAAAATATTTAAAAATGAAAATTATATAACCAATTTGTTTCACATTCTTTCTTGGAAAAGAAAGAATCACTACAACTTCTGAAAGTGACCAGCAGTGTTTTAGCATTACATAAAAAGTAATGTCACAAATCAGAAAACGTAATTTAACATCAATGTGAACATACAAACAAAAAAATTAATGACACTAATTTTATATCATTGTAACTTTGCTTTCCATACAAGTACTTCTTCATATGCCACAGCAAAAACTATAGTCTGAGAAAGTTCAAACATTATTAAAGGCAAGTGAACAAAAAGAAATACACAATTTACAAGCATAGATAAAATAAACAGCAGTATTCAGGTACAGAAATTTAATAATTAAGTGTAAAATAACTGCATAGTGTTCTCTGTATGAATTAAATTTAGATTAATCTTTGTTATAGC